TCTTTTCCAGACAGATCCAGGCGTCGAATGAAGCTACGGGTCGCAAAGAGGTAAAGATTGTAACCTTTGAGTGCCATATCCGATAGGCCTCGTAGCTCCCTGCGAACATCGACCCGTGTTTGAATCTCGCGGTAATGATCATCCCCTTTCTTGCAATACCCCAAGTATTCGTTCTCGTCAAATTGCCACACAACAACGTAGTCTCCACACTTGTCGTCTACCCACAAAAGACCTCTCAGATCATCGACAGTTCCTTGAATCCCACTAGAGAAAATACTTTCATTAGTATATATAGCGCTGAATCTATTGTCTCCTGATCGCTTAACCTTTAAAACGCCACCCTGGATTGACTCTATAGGTGGAAGATGGATCCTCTCATCGCTGAACACATCTATAATGTAGAGATTCGATCCGGAATCCACCACAAGGAACCACTTACCTGAGTTTCCAAGGAATCGATACCCTGAAAAGTCTCTCTTCGTCTCGTAAACCCTATCTTCCTCTGGGCTGTACACACGAAAACCACCCTCTTCTGGGGACAGCATCAGCAACGGAGATCCGACTTTCGGCTGCAAAATCAAAGACGAGCGGAGGGCCTTAGCACACGGAGGGTCCGGAGAACTCCCGGGTCGTTTGAGTGTAGAACTCTGCATCATCAGGAAGGAGATTATCTCGTCTGTTGCTGAGACTGTGGGAGGCGTGATGTTGCTCATCGGTTCTCTCTCGCTCTATATATATGTATACACGGGTAGGGCTTTTGTAGGGCTACAAAGCCCATTAACCGGTTGCAGCCTTTGAACTTATGAGAATTTTTAATAAGAATGTCATCACAACTAAGCAATAAATTTAAGTAAGCAATAAAAGAGTTTTAATAAGAATGTCATCACAAGTATTCTGAGAATTAAGCAAGGCTTCATGTTTTGATCCAACTTGGAGATTAAAACCATAAATACAGAATATTATAATATGAGATATGTCCAATTATTTTAATATATGGTGTTATACCGGATTGGAATCTTATAAATTTATGGTGATTTTATTGGAATGCTAAATGATTATTACTATTTAATCATAATTTTATATAAAAATATTTTTATTTATATGAATAATATCATAAAAAGAATTACGATGAAGAAATAAGTCAAACAATTTAAAAAAGAGGAAACCATTAGGATGCCGACTTGTAGCTAATAAGTTAATACTATTTCTAGTAAATGCCAATTATAAAAAAAAGATTTGATAGATCCATCTTTTCTTTGTAGAGTTTTTTTTCTTCTAAAAAACAAATCTCTCTTTCTCTAATTTTTTTTTTCTCATGATTCTTTAATTACTCATATTATATATATAGTTTCAGACATTTTTCTATGCGTTTTACCATGTGTTCAAAGAAATTTACATTTTTATCAACATGTCCACGATAGCCTGCAAAGCAAAGCTCATATCATCACACTTGTAGGATGCAATCTTACACAAATGGAGAGATGTTAGTCTTTGTGAATTGCTTATCTTCAAAAAATTTGTAAAAACCCTCAACTTTTCAGCACAATTCTCTGGAGCAACCCATCCACATTGTTCAAAGAAAGCAAGATCTACTTTGTGTGATCAAGACGTCTCACATATTTTACACAACTTAGTGAGGAGGCTTCATTGGCAAGCTATTCCAATGAGGGCTCATCATGTGGAATCTTGATAAATCATTTGATAAGCACGTTTCATGGTTGACTAGTAGGTTTGTCTTATTTTTTCTTACCAAAAAATTTTAAGGACCGACAATTTTCATAACGCTAATTGGTTATTTTCAATTTCAAATTCTTTAAATAAATATTCATCTTTTGATCCAATCAAATAAAGATATAAGTTGTCAATTCTCCTAAACACAAATTTTTCAAAAATTTTGTCCTAACTTTGAACATTTGAGCAAAATATATTAGAGAATTCCATCCATACTACCTAAAGAATTGAAGATCAATATTGTGATCCAAACATGCCATATAATCGATACAAGTTTGAGAGAATGGATCATTTTTTCTTTTGATAGACAACCTTATCCAATAAGGTTGAATCAACCAGTTTCATGTCGTTGAGACTCATATTGAGAATGATGATTAAGAATATAAAGAGTAGAATATAAAGAGTGTAGTTATATATTCATTTACTTATGTTTAAAAAAGTAAGTAAAAATATAACTCATCAATTTTTTTGATTAGAGAAGATAAAAACTTACAAAACTGGAAAATGAATAATAATAAGCAAAAAGAAATTAACCTTTTTCTTTATGATACCTTCATCAGAAAAAGACAATGCAATGATACTTTTTTTATTTTTTTTTCTTTAAAGTTTAGCTAATAAAAGATTTTAAAAAGAATGCAAATGAAATTGTTTTTTTCTTTTCTTTGAATATCTTAATTAGAAGATATAATGAAGTGATGATGGACATTTATATTTGAGAGACTCCGATTCTCAAAGCGAGAAAGAAAATACAAGGGTTTATATTGTTAATAAACGACATAAAAACGTTGAAAGTGAAGAAATAGTGTGAGGCAATAGAAAAAGACTACAGAGAGGAGATAAAAGATTTGGCACTACAGAAGAAGGTTCAACCTTCAAATAATTTAAAAATGGACCACTATTGAAAAAGAGTTTTATAAGAATGTTATCACAAGTACTATGAGAATTAAGTAAGGATTCATGTTTTCATCCAACTTGAAGTAAGGCTTGCTTCTTTGTCTAAGCACAGTTAAAGAATATGGGAAGACAAAAAACCAGACACGATTTAGGTTTGCTTGTTGAACAAGCTTATATATACTTTTTAGGGTTATACAAAATGTTCAGTCGGATATTCATGTTCATATCCGTTGTAATCATAGTACAATCGCTCCCCTTTCGAAATGTCTCTATTAGCTACGAGAAGAACCCTAGCTTCTCCTTTGATGTTGAACCTCACACACTTCAGGTTCTGCTTCTTCCTCCCTTCTCTGCAATTCACAAAACGTCAACAAACACAAATGAGGACAAGCAGATACCACAATGTTTCCAGCTCAGATGTCCGGTTTTAGTGTTCACCCTGTACGGTTCTGGTTTGTTACTTTAGAGATTTTGATCGGACTTTTGGTTGGTCCTGGTTTAACAAGGGACCAAGTAGAAGGGAAGAAAAGAAACTCACAGGGTGTGATTGTTGATGCCGCTGATGAAACGGGCGATGTTACTGCGCCTGTCAGGGCAAATAACGAGGCATTGCAAAGGATCAGAGGTATGAAGTAGAGTCATCATGCTGTCTCCATCATAGTCATCTTCTCTGTTGCTCAGATAATCAACATCTCCAACGTACTCCGTGATTATAGTCAAGTCTTTTATACATCTGTCTGCCTCTACTGTGAACCCTTCATAAGGATCGAAGACGACCACAAGAGGCGGGCATTCACCGCGGTCCATCATGTTCTTGCACAAGGCTAAGGTCTCTGCGTCTTGCTTAGACAGAACCTGTACGAGATTGAATATCATCACCGAGATTTTATCAGATGATCAAAGAATGTTACTGAGGAACAAGAGCGATTTCAATACCTGCATGCCTCCTTTCTCAAAAACAGCTTGGTTTGCAGATCTTGGAGCCTTGCCAGAGACATAAGTGAGGTTGTTGCTGAACTCGGTGTTGGAGGCTCTCAACGCAGTGGCGAGGGACGCCATTTGCTCGAGTCTCCTCTGTGGATCATCGGTAGGGTTGAAAGGAAGAAGCTTCCTCTTCTTCTTTGACATCACCAAGCTGGTCCTTTTCCGTTTCTTCCCAATGCTATCTGCACACATATTACTCTTTTGGATTCATATCTCTAAACACACAACACAGAGATATTGGATTTTGATTCCCAATTACAAAGATGTAGCTTACCTGGAGAACTTGAGATGTGAGATGCATCTGGAGACCGCTTAATCCGGAAGAAGTCTACTATCTTAGTCTGAACAAGAGGGAAAGCTGCAATTTCACAAAATTTACCTTCAGTTATTTTTAAGGACTGAAAGTTCACAGATTTCAAGATTCAGATTCAGCAGAAGACACCAATTCATCATATGGGTATCATCACATAACGCTTTCTTCTATGATTTCAGCAGCAACACAAGCATTTCAAGTATCAAGAGCTACTCAACAACAAATAATCCGAACCCAATCTAGTAGCCTAATTAGACTCAATCACACAAACGAATCCAGAAATCTTAGTTAAACTCGTGATATCAAACAAAACCCAAGCATCAAATCGAAGATAGAGATCATGAAACCCAGGATTATAAAATCTACAGGTCAATAATTCCATAATCGAATCAAGAGAACAGAGATTTTAGATTGAAGAAATTGGGGGTTTTTTTTTTCCTTTTTTGAAAAAAGCTTACATTTGGGGATCTGGTGTTTGGAGCACGAAGGGCAGAACCAAGAGCCTTTGGGAACTGAAACGAGGATTGGTCTGAGACAGAAAAGATGGAACCCTTTATCGCATTTGTCGCAAAGTAGCAGCTTCGCCGGCTGTTTGCCTGAGCTGCATTCTTCGCAGACCGTGTCCCAATCCGAATCGGAACCATCCGCCATGGATTCCGGAAGCTCGGGTCTAGGGTTCGTCGCCTGAGTTCTTCTTCGCCGCAAAGCCACCATTTTCAGACTTTTCGTTCACCCAGAAACTCCGAATTGAGAGAGAGTGAGCGAGAATATAAATGTGTGATTTGACCGGGATTACTACGAGAGTTCGCGCTCTGAATTCAGCGAATTTTCGCGGGTAAATGTTTAATTTGGCGCTACTGTTACGGTTTCCGATTTACAAACCGGTTTATATTGTTTTGATCAAAGCGGTTTTTGAGAATGGTTTAGAAACAGTTGACCTTGTAAATCGTAAATGGTCTAATTAAGCTTTACTGTTACGGTCCAGAAATGGTTTAATTTGGCTTTACTGTTACGGTTTCCGATTTATAAATAGGTTTGCTCAAACCGGTTTGGAGGATAGTTTAGAAATCAGGACGAACCAAAACCGACAGAACCTAAAAGGCCTAAAAACCAACCAACCGGAGAGACTTATTGAATTTTTGTGTGTTTCTTCTTCTCATCACGATGGAAACCAATCTGAAGAAGATCTATCTGGTTTCTTCCACCGACTCGCCCGAGTTCACTCGCCTGAAACGGTCCCTCACTCGTTCTACGGTCATTGGGTTGGACGCAGAATGGAAGCCACAACGCTCGAATTCGTCGTCGTTCCCAACCGTCACTCTCCTCCAAGTCGCGTGCCGACTCGGTCATGCCACGGATGATGTCTCCGATGTTTTCCTTATTGACTTGGCCTCGATTCATCTTCCTTCGGTGTGGGAGCTGTTGAATGATGTGTTCGTGTCGCCGGATGTTCTGAAATTGGGGTTTCGGTTCAAGCAGGATTTGGTTTACTTGTCCTCCACATTCACTCAACATGGATATGAGCATGGTTTCCACGAGGTGATTGCTTACTTCTTAGTGATTTTGCCTTCCTTTTAGAAATTCTTGAGCTTTTCATCTTAGTTTAAGCTGTGCAAAGTGTTAGAACCGCTATCCAAAATCTTACCTTTAGCTCTGTTATTTCATCTAGGACATAGATTTGTTGTGTTTTCATGCCTGCCTTTTAGAATTCTTTTGAAATTGGACTCTTGACTTCTTAAAACTTTTTGGATTTGGTTGTTAATGTAAATAGGTGAAACAATACTTGGATATCACAAGCATATACAATCATCTGCAGCATAAGCAGTTTGGGAGAAAGCCGCCAAAGGATATCAAGAGCTTGTCAGCTATATGCAAGGAGATGCTTGACATTTCTCTGTCGAAGGTTTGTCATTGATTCCTTAAAGAACTTACCTTTTTGTAAAACCTCAACTCCGGAGAAATCATAATTGCTTTATATAGCTGTATAAGTAATTAATGCGAGAAAGAAAAATGGATTACTCATGCTATGTGCGGTTTGGACTTCATTTATAACTGTTCATGCTATATCTTGATATTTTGGAAATCTTAATACACTAGAGAAACGTACGGACCGATTCATAAAGCTTTTTAACAAGGTTTTATTCTTTAGGAACTTCAATGTAGTGACTGGTCACATCGTCCTCTTACAGAAGAACAGAAACTATACGCTGCCACAGACGCTCACTGCTTGCTCCAAATATTCGATGTATGCAAGGCAAATCTTGTTGAAGGAATCACAGTGCTAGTTCCTACGGAGATCAATGTTGGCTTAAAAGAAATTCTTACTGGACCGGACTGTACCAGTAAGATTGTCGCGGTCAAACTGTGCAAGGCTACAGATGTTATCAGAGCAATGACGGAAAATGGTCAAAACATTGCCAACGGAGTGGTTTCTAGAAAAACAACGCTAAACACAATGCCGATGGATGAGGATCTGTTGAGAATCGTAAGGAAGTATGGAGAAAGGATCCTGTTGAAAGAGTCTGATCTTTTACCAAAGATCTCCAAGAAGAAAACAAGAAGACGTGCCACCTTGAGGACTGTGAACACAGATAAACATTTGGTCGGTTCTGTGGACTGGCAAGGTCCACCACCATGGGATTTATCTTTAGGCGGTGATGGCTGCCCTAAATTTCTCTTGGATGTGATGGTAAGTGGATAATTTCTGCCGATATTGTGTTTATTAAACACCTGATCTTAGATTTTTTATTCAAAATGGGAGGGAAAACAGCTTTGTTGATTCAGTATTTTAAGTTTCCTGATCTTGAAACAGATTTCGGTGAAGTTTTTTTTTTTTCCCAAGCATTTACTACAAAATTCTCTGCTTTGAGGTGTGTAGATTTAGTGTAAACTTTTGAAATGGGTGGGATATATGTGACTGGAACAATCAATAACTTGACATCATATATCTGAAATATAGTTTGCTTCTTGAATGTAACCATTTTCAGTATCATCCATGTGGTATCATATCAGATGCTTATAAAACTAGTCTCTAGGTTGAAGGTTTAGCGAAACATCTACGTTGTGTGGGGATCGATGCTGCAATTCCACACTCAAAGAAGCCTGATGCAAGGTATTTTCATTTCTAGAGCTGCTTTAATACAGGGTTGAACACAATACCCTGTTTTAGTTTTCCCTAATTCCTCTGTTGAATTCTTGTCATAAATGCCAGAGAGTTGCTTGATCAAGCATACAAAGAGAACAGAGTTCTCTTGACAAGAGATACAAAACTGTTGAGACATCAGGATTTGGCAAAGCATCAAATATATCGAGTCAAGAGTCTTCTAAAAAATGAGCAGCTACTTGAGGTACCAAAAAAAAAAAACTTAATTTTTAGTACATGAGCTGTCTTATGCAGGACCTATAATTTGGTTGACATGACTTAGAGAGTATGATCTCTTAAGTGGAATAGGAATAGTTATGGTTTTTGTACTGAGTTACGACTGAAACAAAGAAGCTGTACAGGTGATAGAGACATTCCAGCTAAAGATCAGCGGGAATCAGCTGATGTCAAGATGTACGAAATGCAATGGGAGATTCATTCAGAAACCGTTGACCATTGAAGAAGCTATTGAAGCAGCAAAGGGTTTCCAAAGAATACCAAACTGCTTATTTAACAAAAATTTGGAATTCTGGCAGTGCATGAACTGCCATCAGCTCTACTGGGAGGTAAAGCCACTTACCAATCTTTTGCCTGTTTTGTACCATCTCAACATCGTCTCTATAGATTCACTGTTGAGTGTGAAAAGATGCTGAATGTTTGTTATTTGTTGTGTGGTTGCAGGGAACTCAGTATCATAACGCAGTCCAGAAGTTCATGGAAGTATGCAAGTTGAGTGAGTGATTCATTTTACTGTATTTTTTCTTCTTTTTCTTTGGCTGAAGTGTTTCAGGTCACTTTCTCGTGACCTCAGTTCCCATTCAATGCTTTGGTCATGTCTCTGAGCAAACAAGATGTGTTTTTGTAATGCTTAGTTCGTAGTTAAAAAAAAACTTACTTAAACAGCAGGCATATTTCCGAAAATTTAACAGCCAAAACATACTTTACTTGGCACAATTGAAAAGGAATCTAAACCGTGTTTGGAATTAAAAAAAAACGTAATCGGTTAGTTGTGGCTTTAAGGACAAAAGCGATTCCAATGTTCGGTTCTTCCATCTTTAATAAGGTTTTCAAATCGGATTACGAGTCGGCCTCGCTACGTAATCTGCCATATAGAGAAGACAGAAAACAATTAAGAAAGAAGTACGAACCGGATGTTTTGGTTGAACCGGACCTATGTTTAAAGCTACACTGCACACTACCAAGTTTTCAATTGATTTTAAAAGGTTTAATTTTGCGGAGAAAAAACCAGACCGGTCTATTTTACTGAGTCGTCGGGCTTTCTCTGCTCGTCGGCGAAGCTCACAAATCTAACAGTCGTTCCCGAAATCTGAGCCTAATCACCAAATCGTGCTTAGGTATACTATCGACCTTTTTGTCTCATACGTTCGATTGCATTCTCTCTTGTACTTCGGTTTGATCATTCAATGTCCTCCAATTCATCTTCAAGCAGCTGAGTGATTAGTCAAGGGTTTTCTTGAATCATTTAAAACTTTGTGGTTAAAACGATGAGAATGCTGATATTTTGGGGTTAGGCTTGTAAATTTTATTAACTTTTTTTCTTTTCCTACGATAGTCGGAAGTTTGGTCTCTCCTCCTTCTTTGATCTCTTTCTCAGCTCCGATCAGTTAAACCTCGAAATTGTCTGAGTAAAGTTGTTCAATTACACTTCAAATTCGATCGATTCAGTGCATAGAGAACCTTATGATTGATTTGTTCAACTCCTAGAGATTTGGTGCGCATCCTGATCCGCCGGAGACCTCTGTTGATCTCTCACTCTCCTTTTGGCGATTGATCATGGAAAGTCCCGGGCAAAAAGTTCTGTATGAGATACGTCATCATGCTTCATTGCCCTATGTTCCTAGATATCCTCCTCTTCCTCAGGTACCAAGATTCATGCTCTCACAGAGTTAAGCTAATCGCTGCGCATTAGTGTTTATATCTTACATTGTGCTTTGATTTTTGATCTGCTGTCCAAGTTCAGGCAGATGGAACTGATTCCAGAAGAGGGCTTCGGTCCCTTGTCTCCATTAGAGGTCAGTTGCAGTTGGTTGGTTCTCTAGAAGTTTTTTTTCTATTGATTATTTGATTTGCCTTTAGCAAAGTCCATACACAAACTCAGAGATCTTGCGAATTGGAATATTTTTTTTTCTGAGCTCGTAGGGTTACTAGCGGTGTACATCTCTTTGCTTTTAAATAGCAATATATTATAGCCCATTGGCTGATACATGCTTCTGCATCTCCATCTTCTTATGGTATTAAGGTGTTAGCCAACTCAAGGAGAAGTGGAGTGGATATTGGCAGCCGAGAAAAAATAACAAACCCGTTTCGTTATTTATTTCACCAAGAGGAGAATTTGTGGCCGTCACTTCGGGGAATCACGTTACAATCTTGCGGAAGGATGATGATTACAGGAAACCTTGTGGTAGTTTTACAGGTAAGCTATTCCTGAGTCACCTTCCTTTGCTTTCACAAAATGATAAGAAACCTCTGTTTTCTTAATCATGGTCTTTTCCATGTTCTCACTTTGGTCGTCTAACTTTTGTTCTCTGTATCAGCCAGCATATCAGGATCATTTACTTCTGGAATATGGTCCGAAAACCATGATGTTCTTGCACTTGTGGATGATAGCGAGACCCTCTTTTTCATCAAAGCCAATGGTGAGGAAATAAGTCAAGTGACAAAAAGAAATTTGAAGGTTTCTTCATCAGTATTAGGACTGATGGAGGATGACGATGGCTTGCAAACATCATGCTTGTACGTTTCCTTTCGTCCCTATGTGTTATTGATTAAGACTATATCTGGATCCTCATGTGACATCCAGCACCACAGTATGCTTGTTTGCTTAAGTCTCGCCGGTGGTATGAAATTGTGACTGGTGGTCTATCCCAATGTCATTTTCCTTGCAGGTGTTCGTTCAGTGTACTTACATCAGATGGACTTATTCATCATGTCGAGATCAGTAGGGAGCCAAGTGCCTCTGTCTCTTCCAAGCATGCTTCAAATAGCGTCCCAGCTTTGAAAAAGCAGTTCCCAAACCATGTTTTTTGCTTTGATTACCTTCCGAATCTTTCCTTTCTTCTCATTGTTGGTAGTGCTGCAGGCATATCATCGGCAGGGAGTTCTGGTAGGTTTTATAAACTTATTTTAGTTAAAAAAGTTTAAAATTTAAAGGACTTATTGTTAACACTTGTTTAAAAAAAATACTTAAAAGCTACACGCATGCTCGATATCAATCAATTTGGCAATTTACTGGCTTACTGCTGTGTTATGTTATATTGTTATATATGGACTCTATTCTTACTTTATCAATTTTTTTACGATCGTTAAATGAAAAAGCGTGGTTGCTGAAATATTTCCTGTGAACAGAGATGTTGGATTTATAATTCTGCGAAAAGTAATTTGTTTTTTATGCACTGTCAGGTTCATCGTGTATTTCACTTTGGCGCAAGTGTCAGAATTCAGGTCTGGAACTGTTGTCCACCGTAAAGTTTGAAGGAGTGTACTGTGAGACAAATGATTCTCAATTGGCATATCCAAAGGTTTTGATCTCACCTCAAGGGTCACATGCTGCGAGTCTTGATAGCAATGGGTGCCTGCATCTGTTCCACGTGGACAAAGCGAAATTGACACTTTCGTGTTGTCCTTCTGAAGATGGCTCACTAGAAAGTTTAAGAAATGTTGTAGACTTTACATGGTGGTCTGATCATGCCCTTACAATTTTAAAAAGGACTGGTAGCATTAGTATATTTGACATCCGTAGATGTGTTATAGTTCAAGAGGATGCCACCATTTATTCTATGCCTGTGGTGGAAAGAGTTAGGAGTTTTGAAGGACACATTTTTCTGCTAGAAAGTTCAACGAAGGACAGGGACCCAAGTGAATCACAGTATACTAGTGATCGTGGTATGTTGTGGAGGCTAATATCTTTTACTGAGAAAACAGTTCCTGAAATGTATAAAATCTTAGTTGATAATTGCCAGTATCAGGAGGCCTTGGATTTTGCTGATAGTCATGGCTTGGACAGAGATGAAGTTTTCAAGTCAAGATGGTCCAACTCAGAAAAAGAGTCAAGTGATGTGAGCATGATTCTATCAAAGATTAAAGATAAAGCTTTTGTGCTCTCCGAGTGCTTAGACAGAATTGGGCCAACAGAAGATTCCATGAAGGCCTTACTTGGGCATGGACTTCACCTTACTAACCGCTATGTATTTTCTGAATCTGAAGATCAAGAATCCAAACAACTTTGGGAATCTCGAATGGCTAGGCTCCGTCTATTACAGTTTACTGAAAGACTCGACACATATCTGGGGATAAGCATGGGCAGGTATATGTCTTTACACTTGCTATCTTCTTTTCTTTTCTGTAGATAGGCCAATCTGGTATGCTATATAGTACTATTTAGGTCTTTCATCTCCAATGCAGAATGAGTGTCGTTTACTTTGTAGCATCGTTTCTAGAGTTTTTAGTGTTTTCTGGATTAAGTTGCAACTCGAAAAACTTGCTACCCTCTTTGCCGGCCTTATATATACCAACTCAGGTAGTTTAGTCTAGTATCTCCATGCTTGCATGTGGGTAACTGCACTTTAGAATTTTCAGTTCTTATTAATATATTGTTACACTACACCATCCAGTTACATTTAAAATGGTTATTGACTGTCTCCCACAGATATTCAATGCAGGACTACAGAAAATTTCGGAGCAGTCCTATAAATCAGGCTGCTATTGCACTTGCTGAGAGCGGGAGGATAGGGGCTTTGAACCTGCTCTTTAAGCGGCATCCTTATTCACTTGCTTCTTTCACGCTGGAAATTTTGGCAGCCATCCCTGAAACAGTTCCTGTTGAAACGTATGCACATCTTCTTCCTGGAAAATCTCCTCCGACCAGTATGGCAGTGAGAGAAGAAGACTGGGTTGAATGTGACAAGATGGTTAAATTTATCAATAAATTGCCTGAGAGTGGCAAGAATGATTCTAAGATTCAAACTGAGCCAATTGTCAGGAGGTGTTTGGGGTATAACTGGCCATCATCAGAAGAGCTTGCTTCATGGTACAAGAATAGAGCAAGAGATATTGATTCTTCCACTGGGCTGCTAGACAACTGCATTTGCTTGATTGATGTCGCATGTCGAAAAGGCATATCTGAGTTGGAAAGGTTCCGTGAGGACCTATCATACTTGCACCAGATAATTTATTCTGACGAATTTGGGGGAGAAATCTGCTTCAGCTTGAGCCTTGTAGGGTGGGAGCAATTATCTGATTATGAGAAATTCAAAATAATGCTTGAAGGGATTAAAGCGGAAACTGTGGTTAGTAGATTGCATGGCAAGGCAATTCCGTCTATGCAGAGAAGGTATTCGGGGGCAAACAACCATAATGACGAGTCCTTTCTAGTTAAATGGCTGAAGGAGATGGCAGCAAAAAGTGATATGGATTTATGCTCAAAAGTTATAGAAGAAGGGTGTATGGATTTATACGCTGTTTGTTTTTTCAAGGATGAGGTTGAAGTTGTTGATTGTGCTCTGCAATGTCTGTATTTGTGCAAAGTTACGGATAAGTGGAATGTCATGGCAACAATGCTGTCAAAGCTACCAAAGATACATGGTAAGTTGTCCAGATCCATTATTATTCCTAACTCTAAATCTACGTAACTAAATGATCAGTAAGTTTTGCTAAACAAAACTTCCATGAAAAATACAGATATCCATGGTGAAGACATTCAGAAAAGACTCAAACTGGCGGAAGGTCATATAGAATCAGGAAGGCTTCTGGAACTATATCAGGTTACAAAATGCGTCTGCATTAAATATTTGGTGTCTTTTAGCAAAAATATATGTAGTCTTGTTCCATGTGATTTGAAATGAACTAACATAGACATGTGTGCACTTACCAATGGATTTATATTTAAAAATTTTATGGAAGTTATTATAATGCTGCATCTTTTTTGCTCCACAGGTCCCAAAACCAATTAATTATTTT